AGCCTGTTTTCTGCTGCCATACACACTCACAGAGAGAAAGAGAGAGAGAGAGAGCTGCCTGAATTAGCTCTTACTAGGTTAAATTCTATCCTTTAAAGGTTTATGAACAGGCCAAGAAGTTGGCAATAGAATATTCACTGGCCTGTAACAAGGTGAGCATGGGTCCAGTTGTTATTCAGCTTCTGCCTTGCTAATCTGGTTACTCTGCTTCAAAGGTTCAGTACTGTGTCTCACATTTCCCAACAAAAACAGCACAAAGAAAGGGATGAACATCCTGTCTGAACACCATGATGTCCAGAAGATTTCCCTCTCCCTTTCTGGCTGCTATTAAACAATTTTCAAAGTGTGTGTGTGTATGGGGAGGGGGTTGTAAGATTTCTTTCATATCTTTTGTGAAAAGCAGTGGCAGATGGTGGCTCTCATTTCACTGGGGTGAAGAATACAGTTTTTACTGTGAACTTCAAAGGATCTAACCAAGCTGCTAAATCTTATTTTTTGGGCATAGCATTCAACACTTTGGATAGTTCCTTGAAAATGTGGACTTAAAAGGTTGCTGATTCACTGTACCACTCACTATTCTGGGGGTGGCCACCAGCCACTACCAGAATAGAAATGTGAAAGAAAGGATCTTTATTTACAACACAGATTCTTTTAAATGAGTCTTTTAAATAACTTCATGCCATTTAAACAGTTATCATTTAAATGACAGTTACATGAACCTTTCTCAAAAAATTGCAGTAATGAAGCACAAGTAAAATAGGACCTATATGGAGGGGTTGTAATGGGGGGGGGCAGTGCAGTTACATTTCAACAAGTGGGAACCAAGTTACTTTATTGGTGTGACCAGTACAGTTTTCTAGTTTTTAGGCATTTTTATAGGTATTTGGATATAGATTTTCTAGTTTTATGCCATTCTCTTATCAATCCTACTCACTAAAATTAAGGGAAAATATATTTAGTCATATGTAAGTGTGTGTGTGTGTTTTAAAAAATAACTCTCCACAAGCCATGTGTAAGAAAATGTTCCCATGACTGGTTGCCATCTGTCCAGAAAAAAATTGGTCTGGCCTGCTGCTGTGCCTTTAACAGAAGTAGGACCTGCAGAAATAATCAGGTGGGTGATTTTTCATGCAAGTAAACATTTTATCACTTGCTAATTGCTGCAGATCAAGTTTAAAAGTTCACAGCCCCATGCCATGCTGATGAATGAATTGGACCTGATGTTCAGCAGGAGGTTATACAAGCTTGTCATTTAAAGCTCACAAACTGGTGGAGGAGGAGAAGAGAGAGCAACCTCCCAATAGTCTCTTGAACCTGATACAAGACAAGGACATCTAAAAAGGAGAACTTTGGCAACTCCCTAGCCTTCTGCAGAGATGGACATGAAGCTAAGAGGTTTGTGTGTTTCCCAGCCAAGCCAGCCTGGTGCAGACCTGTATTGGAATATGGAGGAAGCATGGTCTGGAATACTGCTGATATCTTATAGAAGTTAAAGTTCCCATAAATAAGTAGTTGGACATTTTTGTCCAATGTGGACAAAAGGTTTAAAATAATTTTTAAAAGAGGTGTTTCTGGCTGTTCTCGGAGCAGGATGAACAAGGAAGCAGCAGGTCCACTGCAAAAGAGAAAGTGGAGCTGTTCAACATCTATTTTGACTGGATCATCTCCCAAAAAAGAAACCTTGTGGGTAAAAAGAATAAAAGCTGCCATGAGGGATGGCAGCTCAAAATTGGTAAAGAGGTGGCATAGGAACACCTTGCTCTTTTAAATGATTTCAGATCCTGATGAAGGGCCTTCAAAAGTACTAAAGAAACATGCAAATGTAATCTCAGAGTCTCTGTCTATAATGTTTGATAATGCTACTGGGCTCTGTTTTTATTATTTGGAGACACCACAGTTGGAAATGGTTATTGGCAAGATGGAACATTTTCAAATACGTTGTTGTTGTTGTTTTCTTAAATGTCCACCATTTTGAAGTGCCTTGTCCTCCTTTGCAGGTCACCTTGTTCCTAGAGAAACATTTGTTCTTTTTACCTTGACCAAGCCAGGGGATATGAATGGCAAAGCATTGAAGAAGTGCCTTTGCATGTTTGTTTTGGAACACTGTTAAACTATGCAGTTTATACTTGGACAATGTGACCAGTTCGCTCCATGGAGGGCTTTTTAAAAAACAAATTTACCCAGTTCCATGCCTCTCAAACTGAATATGAAATTGGAGGTAATTTGTGGTTGAAAATCTGTATATTTACAGGCTTGTAAAGCATTCCATTACAGGGAGAGAATGCATTCAATAACATGCACACATTTGATGACTGTACAAAAAATTCTGCTGGAAACTTTTCTCAAAGGAACACAAACACATTTTAGTCATGGGGAGGGGCAAATGCCTATTAATCCAACCATATGCAAAATTCATACAAAAATACATAGGATGTTTCTACCTAAGTGTGTATTTTTTAAAAAATGTACTGAATTGGTACATACTGCTAGAAAGGCTGGGGTTGCACTGGAATGTGGCTTTGCCAAAAAAAAAAATTAAAATAAAAAAATAAAATCTGGGATGTTTTAAACTCCTTTGGGACCTTACTGGACAAACTGTTTTGCAGACTCCACAGTTCTGACTGCTATCACCCTTCATCAACTGTAAAGCAGAACGGCAACATAGAAGACTACTTACCTTCTCGAATTTTGGCTGCCAGCATGGAAACTGCAGCTGTATGGAAAGACATCAGTGAGATCAACAGCAATAAATGGTGGGACTTTGTACCTATGGATAACCTGATGAAACAACTACATCATTTTGTACAGTTCCGGCAACAGGGCAATTTTTTTATAAAACTTAGTACAAACTCATTTCTTTAGGTTAAAAAACACACAAAACTCACGATAAAAAAGGCCTATAGTTAGTCCTGATTAGAGTAGGAACATTGCATCAATTGGATTTACTTATGTACTGACTCACAATTCAATAATTAGAATCATGGTATCATAAAACTGAATCAGTGGGTCTACTCTTGTTGGGATTAATCCTTTAAAACCCTACATGGTTTGGGTCCAGGTTAACTATGAGATGGCTCCTCCTGTGTATTCAGATCCATAAATTCAGTTCCTCTGGGGGACATTTACTTCAACTGGCCAGGACTAGACTGGCTACTATAATCCAAAGGACTGTTTCATCAGCTACCCCTAGATTGTGGAATGACCTGCCAGGAGAGATCATACAGCTAAACATGATGTCTGAATTTAGAACAGTATTAAAGACCTATCTCTTCTAGTAGGACTACCCATTCAGTTTTAAACTATGAATTTTAAAGTGGCATTTTTTAAATGTTATGTTTGGATTATTTTATCGTGTCCTCTGTTTATGTGTTTTAACCTATGTCTTTAAATGGTTTTATGTGTTTTAATCTATGTTGTATGCTGCCTCAAGCCTTGGAGAGAAGTGAGTAAGAAATAAAATTTATTGTTGTTGTTATTATTATTAACCAATGGAATTTCAGCCAGAGTGACTCTACTATAGGCATAGAAAAAATATTTGTAATCACTCATTAGCAGGCTGAAAAATGGATTCCATGATGGTTGGTTGAGAAGTATAATCTAGTGAGAATCTTGTGCAGTTTCCTTCTTACATTCATTGTCCCAAAGCATTGCAGGGGAATTATTATGGGAGAAAAACACTCTCTTTTTTTCTAAAAAAGTTTTCTGCACAGAAAATAATAATAATAATAATAAAATTTATTTCTATACCACCCAATGGTTGCCCAATCCGGGCGGTTTACAGCATAAAAATCGATACAATAACAAATATATCCCTCCCCCCCTTAAAACAGTATTAAACAGTACATAGTTAAAAGTCCTAAAGACAAAATACAAAGGAAATTAAATAATAAAAGACAAGATATATCATCCCATTGTTACATTACAGGGAACCA